AAAAGGAAAATTAAAATCATTTATATTCCCACCATCCCAAGAACTAATGTCAACATTTTGATATCTCTCTTCAATCATTTTGTTTGAGACAGGGTCTCATTATGTAGTCCAAGCAGACCTTGAACTTACTGTGTAGCCCAATCTGGCTTCACACTCGGTGATTTCCCTGCCTCAGCCTCCTGAGTGCTGGGATTACCATGCTTGGCTTCTACAGTTTTTGAATATATACTTTAGCAAAATTAACATCAGAGTGTTTATGTTGCTCTCCTATCTGTTCTTTGGGGTGGGATAACATAGTAGGGGTATTTTTCAAAGTTACTAAATATTTTTCTGAGATGATTTTTGCAAGGGTCCACATAGTACCATCTCGTGGTTGTAATTGATTTATTAACCTTCTACCCTGGATAATTAAATTGTTTCTCATTTTTCAATAATAGTTATCATTTGTTAAATGTAATACTGGTTGGACAGGTTTTAAATTCATTATCATTGAGTCTCAGCGGTCATAGGAAAAAGATTTACTTTTTCTTCTTGTGGTACCGGGGGTTGAACTCAGGACCCTGCACTTGCCAGTCAAGTGTTTATTGTACTGAGGAAAAAGATTTATTTTTATCTCTATTTTACGAAGAGTGGGAACTGAGGGTCCGCGATGCAGTGAGGAGCAAGTCCTTAGGCTGCCCCTTCCCGGAAAGCATGTGCCTGCTTGTGTACTTGGCTGCTTGTGTGGGTGCATCCACCGTGGGCAGCAGCAAGCGTTGGGGCATGTGAGTAGGTAGAGAGAAGGCGGGGAGAGGAGGAAAGGTGTCCCCTCTGCAGCCTGTACAGGAAGCGGCTTCTGCTCGCGTGGGCAGGGATTATGGCGCTGAGCCTGGTGAGCCCGAGACTCTCCCGCAAGTACCAGTGCTAAAACTGGAGATATTTTGAGCATGTCCCTACCAAAGGCAGACTTTTAAGGTCAGGTAATCTCTCCCCTGAAACCCACAGGTTGTCATTTATTATGGAATGGGATCTCAGTTCACAAGCTTAATTCTTTCCGTGATTTTGATCACAGAATTTGTGGACCAGATTCTGCCACCAGAAGCAAGGAAAAATTTAAGTTCATGAGCTGAGGTACCACCATACAATAATAGACACAATTAAAATATAGGCCATTACTACTAGTTGACTGTGTTTTCATTCATTCTTAGTGTTCATGATTATATATCCAAGCTTCGTGCTACACTGAAATGTAGGAAGTTATGAAACGTTGCTTATACTTTTCTGTTGCTTAATTATCATGAGTCTTGACCTTGAGTTTTTATATTTAACTTGGATTTTTATGTTTATGTTGCTTTCTTTCAGATTCAAAAAAGCATTATATTCAGAATTTAAGACAATTTTGAAGTCATTTAATTAAGCTTCCTAGCTTTTTAACACCTTATTTTATTATATTTATTTAATTTATTTGGTGTTGGGATCAAAGTCAGGACCTTGTGCATGCTGTACTGCAGAGGAGCACCCCGGCCCTGCCTAATTCCAAGCTGCCATAATTGCTATTCTGCCACATGGCCTTGGGTATATTCATGAAACAATTTCCTTCAGAATGTGAGGGATGTGGACTTGAAGCACCGTCACTGATTTGTGTGAACTCTCTCTAACCAGTTTTAAGAGCATTGTGAATAGTTTTGTAGACAGTGGAAAAAAAACACTGAATGGGCTTTGCCTTTCAGAGCTTAGTGGTTGCAAATAATCCAGGACTTTCCTCTGCAGTATTTGAGAATATTTCAAAGTGCATAATACACAGTGCTGAGACAGAGAGGTAGCCTGTTTTCTTTGGGCCCTGTCTCAGTCACTCTTGTGCCAAATCAGGCCTGATATTCATTATGTTGAAACAGATAATCGTGTTCATAATGGTTTAAATCAAATAAAAGTACAGGGATTGGCCTATAGTTCTCTTTTAATCCCTTTAGTCTCACGACTCCTGGCTCTTTCAGAATCTTATTATGTGCTTTCCCATATTACTGACAGTATGTATATTATGCTCTTGTCATTATTAGAACCGCTTGGGCAGACAAAAGAATGTTTTCAATTATCAAACTCAGGTTCCCTTGGAGATATCATTTTTTCCCACGCCATATTCAGGAGCCAGATGCCTATCACCCAGTTAGGGGCAAATTTGACTGACTATAGCTTTCAAAGTTTTAGACATGTTATTATTTGTGGCAAAAGAGGAACTGAAGCTGAGGTGACCTTGTATATTTTGAGCTTAATGTGTTTATAAAGGTAAGGACCACTGGTCCCCAATGACCAGATTCAAGTAATCACCCCCTGGCATCTGAAGGTGTAGAATTCTGACCATCCAAGGGTGTGATTTCAGATTTGCAATTACTCATTCAGACATTTAAAAATGTCCTAAATATTAATGTTTGTGAGCATATTTGTACTGCAGAACTCTGCCATCAGGCAATATTCAAAAGCTTTTCAGAAAAGATTTTACCATGCAAAACAACACATTTAAACTTTTCTGTAATCCTCACAGTAAATGTAATCGTTTTGTACTACAAATGAACCAGAGCAACAGAAAGTAGTAATGGTTGCCGGGGACTGGACTAGAGAGCGAAGAGAGATTTGGTGTTTGGTGGGTGCAGAGCTTCAGCACAGAAAGATGAGCGGTTGGGGTGACTGCACAGTGGCCCGGATGCCCTCAGGGCTGTGGAGCCGTGCACTCGGAAACGATTAGGGCAAGAAATGTTGTGTCATGTATATTGTACTGCAATAGAACCTGTTCCCTATTTAAATATGTTTTTATTCTTTAGGGCAAAATTATTAGAAAGTGAAGCAGTGAATGAGAACCTTCGAAAAAACTTGACGAGAGCCACATCAAGATCGCCGTATTTCAGTGGATCATCAGCTTTTTCTCCCAGTATACTTTCTTCCGACAAAGAAACAATTGAAATCATAGATCTAGCTAAGAAAGATTTAGAGAAGCTGAAAAGGAAAGAGAAGAAGAAGAAAAAAAGGTAGTATGAAGTCACTGTTACATGAATCCCTGTTTTTCAGGGTGCTTTAATTTGAGATTAGGAATATACAGAGTCTTCTGAGTACATTAACACATGAAATAAATGATTTAGATTAGCTGATAATTACAACTATACATTTGAATGAATTACCTTTTTATACACAAGAAAAATTAATTTAGCTGTAATAATATGGAATAACTTTTATTTAGAATATGACGAGGCAGAGTTACTGTTAGATACTACTTTATTGTTCCTCCAAATAGTGGCTTTTGCATCCCACTCATCCTGCTTTGTGCAGAGCTCACTGCTTCATTACGGCTCATTGTTTTCATTTTTCCTGCTTTCTAATGCAATTGAGTAGTCTCTTGGATATTCTAATTTCTGTCCTGATTAGTTTAACTAAAGGCTAAACTAATTGTCCTTTGTTCTCATAAGTATTTTCTACAGGGCTTCTAATTTCCTTGTGCGGAAGGAAGTCGGGTTGTGCGATTCTGCATCCCCCAGCAAAGAGTTGCAGCTTCTCACTGCTGTTCCAGGCCTTCCCTTCTTAGCATCAGGCTAATGTCTCCCTCCGAAATAAACTGGGTGCAAAGAAGAGGAATAAAGTGGAAGCTTGACCACTTCTTGTTAAATATTCATAAATTCTTCATGTGCTCACACATTGATCTGTAGTGTAGTCATATTATTTGCTGAGAATATATTTTTGACATATCAAATCGAGCATTTTTGGCTATTCAGAAAGGAAGCAAAGCCATCTTCTTATTTGCTGGGTGGATTCTACCTTTTCTTTTAAAGTTAAATTTTAAAATGTTGGCCTAATTATTTGTTGAGTATCAACAATGAAAAATAAAGTCAGTAAAATTCCATTTTTCATATTTTTATAAGGGTGATAGATACCCAACATTAATATTTTTATTTATGTTGTTTTTGTAATAATACATGGTAATTAATGCTTTTCATTTATAAACACACATCATTAAGATTTCTTCTTTACAATGAGATTTCCATTTATTGTAGATAAAATTTAAGTAAAATACCATTTATTTCAAATTGAAAATTTGTTATTCAGTACCATAGATACAATAATTGTTATGGTGAAGATGTCTTACCAGACTAGATTTAAATACAAAAATTAATTAATATTTTCTAACAAATAATGATATAATTGAAGATAAAGTGTGTCAGCAAAAAAATCCCCCAAAATCCAACAAAACAAAACAAAACAAAACAAAACAAAACAAAACAAAACAGAAACCTCCCTAAGCAAAGCTAGATAAGAAGGAAAGGCTTACAAGGAGAAAGATAAATTGGCCTTTCTTAGCAGGGTATGGGAGTGCCTGCCTGTAATCCCAGCACTCTGGAACCTGAGGCAGGGGAGCTGCAAACTTGAGCCCAGTTTGGGTAATATAGCAGCTGAGTGAGATTTTAGCTCAAAATAAAAAAGAATAAAAGGATGGGGATGTGACTCAGTGTGAGAAGCTGGGATTTTCGCAAAACACTTCTATAGAGTACTTTAGAGAAACTGCTTTATAAAGTATTTTCAGATGCACACTCCAGTGTATCTTTATAAAACTGATATCTATGTGGTTTGTAAAACTAGGAAGTTTGTTTTGTGTACTATAAAACATTATAATTATAAAAGGCTTGAAAGTCAGCTTATGAATTCATGTTGCTATTTATACAAATTTATATAGGTTTTAATGAAATTTATTTCACCTTGTTATTGGGCAAACATTTTGGATTCAGTAATGGAAACCTGTAGTGTTTCCCACAGTCTGATAAAGGTTGAATTCATCATGTTTAGATGTATGCAGTGTAAATTCCTATTTGCAAAATATAGATAAACTCTCGTTGTTGCCAAAGGGCTGAAACAAAACAAACACACAATAAACCAAGAATTCCAGGCGTGCCTATAGTGACCGCAGCTTTGCTGGACACAGGGCTTAGCCTTTCCTGAGGTTCCCCGAGGCGCAGCTCCTGTCTAGATTTATCAGTTCACTTGCCTGATGGGCCTCGTGTTTGTTTATTTGTTTGCCTGGAGAGTGCATTGTGAAATGTAGGTTCTGCCTAGTTTGTGTGTACCTTTAGTGAAAACTTAATTGTTTGGAAGTTGGGGTTAAATTTTCTCTTGAATGTTTTATCAATATATAATATCTAGTTCACACACATGAAATATTTTTTTTTTTGCCCATTTTATACCATGTTGAGAGCAATTCAGAAGGGCGTAGCCAGGGGTAAAGAAGCAGAAGTAGTCTCTGGACAGTGGCACTATCTGGGAAAATGCGTGCATTCATTCCTGCCGCTCCGTCTCCCTCTGCTGCCTTGCCCACCTGTCCCAGGGCAGGCCTTGCTCCCAGTTTCAAAATCACTTTCTTTCCTTCGCTTACCTCCTTCACCTCAAAGTCAAGAGCAGAGCTTTTCCTCCAAAAGAGTTCTGACCATTGCAAATGGCTGATAGCCGGCTTACACTCTTTATAGGGACCTTAGTACTTTTGAAAATGATCATATTGATTCAAACAGTAAAATTGCAGGCAGTATGAGATAATTTTTAAAAAAATCAAGCAAAGTAGGGAGTTTATTTTTCCCCTTACTATTTCTTAAAACCTGGCCGAGGCATATTCTTTGGGTTAAGGCTTTCCTGAAGTGTCCTGCATCTTACAGGAACAACAAATTCTTTAGAAGTTCTGTGTCTTTCACTTATCTTGCCTGGTGTTGCCAGTTTTTAATTTTAGTAGCGCCAGAGCCCCTGATGATTGGTGGAGGTTGGTTAGAAGAATGGCAGCAGGCCATTTTTATACTGGAAGCTGCCCTTTGGCTCGGGAACGACGCACGTATCCTGTGTTCATTGAAGCTTTCTCTTCCACACGCCAGTGTCATCAGAGCAGTAACATACAGTGCGCACACGGAGCCTTAAGGTTCGCTCTGCTGTCTTTTGTGCTTATTTTCTATTGAGCTGTAAAGTAACCCAGAAGTGTAGATAGTAAGAAAATAGATGTGTGCCAAGTTTCGTGGATGGCCTACTAACCAGATTATTGTTATCTGGATATTTGAATAGGCCCTGTTGTCTATTTCTCACTTACCCCAATGTTAAAATTGTTAGCAAGAGGCCGCCCCACCATTGAAATCGAACTAAATGAAGGAAAAAAATCAACCCCTTTAACATACAGAAAAATATTTTTGGACTATTTATTTCCATTCTTTCTGCCATCTGTCTGAACTACAAATTGCATTGTTTTTTTTTTAAAGAAGGAATTTAGGAGGCATTTAAAGTCTGTCTACCATTGGCACATATGTGCCATATATTTTTTTAACCTTTTACTTATATATTTGGTACAGAGTCTTGCTATGCAGCTCGGGCTTGTAGTGATCCTCCTGTCTCAGCCTCCCCAGCGCTGGGATTACAGGCGTGCACCCCCGTGCCTGGTTTTGATGGCACACGGCATGCTCAGGGTGCCAGGGCTGGCACAGCATGCAGAACCGCAGAGCGAACCCAGGTCTTTGAGCTTGCCAGGCAGGGCTTAGACCACTGAGCTGTCTCCCCAGCCCTGCCATCTTTTTAATATAGCTCTATTGTGTAAGGTAAATAAGAATTAATTATAACACAAGCAGAAAATATGGACTCTTCACCAGGGAACATACCCCTTACACCTTGTTGTTTTTATCATTGGTGTAAGTCCAGGATAGATTTAAATTGTTTTACACTTTTGCATATGTGGAAGGAGAAAATATCGTGTCTATATTTAGTCTCACATTTTTGGATATCCAGCTTTAAATGGCTAAAATGTGACATAAAAAGCTACACCATTCTTCTATGCTTGTACTTAGTGGTATTGGGTTGAAACTTTAGAAACACACAGGTTTCTTAAATGATGGCTCTACTTTCCTTTTTATAGTCACTATTCTCAGCCATTTTATCCGCAGTCAGTATCACTCTGTAGACTTTGTTTCCCTCCTAAAGATTGCTAGTCTCATCTTGTGATAGCAGCTGATGGGTACAAAACAATCTTTGATTAAGAAATAAAAGTCTTATACAAGCACATACAAAATTAAAATGAAAAGAACTGGCTTAATGAAATAATCTTATACTTCAATCTGTTTCTTTTCATTTTAAGATGTAATAGTTCCAAAATATATATTTTTGGAATTTTGCGAAGAAGTGTGCTATAATCTATCCAGATTGCAATATACTTAACCAGAGCCTAGCACACCTACTATTCGGTTGCTGTGACAAATATTGTTAACCTCTATAGTACATTCCATTGAGTAAAGACCACCAAGTCTGTACTGAGTATTCTTTAAATTATATTTCAATGTAGATTTGTATATCTACAAATTTATAGTTTTTCTTATCCTTATCTGGTTAAAAAATAGTATTACTAATGGAAAGTACTACAGTTCCATTTTTCCACTTTTGCTTTAGATATGCCCCTTCAGTAGTTAGTTTATAATAATCATTACAGTGAGATTTTTAATCCTAATATTTTGAGTTTATTTTCAATTAAACAATTAGTTTTTCACTGATATAATAACAACCATTATTCATTGCCTATAACACCATTTCATGTAAAATTTTAATATAGAATTTCTTAAATTTAGATTTAATAATATTCACTTTATATTAAAAGAAAAAGCTTTAAAAATAGTATTTTAGCGTGTAGTATTAGTATTTTCATATTCTGGTATAAAGGCATTACTTTGGAAAGTTCTTTTATGCCATGAAAAATTTTTTTTGATAAATATTAAAAAAAAGAATATTGCTGAAAGTGAGCTTTTTTTGTAAGAGGAATTAAGAAAATGTACTAAAAAGCAATTTCAGACTAAGAAAGCAATGGCATTCAAATGTTCTTACTACTCAGTTACGTAAGTTGAGACTGTACAGTATAATGGAGAAATTATACTGCTGAATAATTTCAGTTTATAATGGATATAGTCTTCTTACATAAAATGCTACTTTTTGTTTCTACTTTTTATTTGTACAGAATGTATTGCCTTTTTACTGTGTGTTGTCCTTTAATGATATCTTTTGGAATTTATTTTAAAGTCTGTGAGCTCACGTGCCACTCTTACCTTTCTGGTCACTCTCGCTCTCACTGTCTGGTCTGCCCTTCATTGGCTTGGCCCTTCCAATACTGTGCCTCGTGACTTTGAAGGCTAAAGAAACTTGAGGAAAGCAGTCGAGAAGAAAGAAGGTTGGAATGTTTCCCAGGTTTTTTATTAAAATGTCATTTAACTACCTAGTTGCCATTGATAGTAAATGTATTATAGAATTATAGATTGCTTCAGACTAGATTAGATGTGAACTCCTAGAGGTGATGACGGTTTTAAAAAAAAACTGAAGGTGCCAAAATTGTCTTCAAAGTACTTTTTAAGAGTAGAAACACTCAGGTTTAGGAAAATAAAAATTAAGGCAATTTTATGTGACTTTAAATTATCATAATTAGTTATGATTAACTTTTTTAGTGTAAAGGTGACCAAACAGAACTCTCACCATTTGATCTTAAAAAATCAAGAATTCTGTATTTTTCAGAAATTTATGAGCAGGGTGGGAAATGATAGTTTGCTATAGTGCAAGTTAACTTGTGGGTGGGCTTTCCTCTCTTCCTTGTTGAAATTCTGTTCAGAAAACATTAAAATGGCAACAAAGCAAAAGGAAACTGTGGCCTTAATGCAGATATAATTTTTAAAGCATTCTTAAGATTGAACTAGAAAGACAATTTTTGTTTTTAAAATGTTATTTGTAGGGAGCTTCAGAATCAAGATCGTCTTCTTTTTCTTTATATTTGGAGCTTGAGCAAATTTAGAATTATATTTGTGAGCTCTATGGAATGAACACTTGCATTTTATTGATTGATAATTATGATTACTTAAGCAAAGACCAAGTAATATTTTACTTACTAAATTTTTTCTTTATAGATTCTTTTTCTAAATAGATTTTTTAAACAAGTCATCAGGTTTTATAGCTATAGTAAGAAAATAAACTATTTTCAAAATAGTATTTAAGTATTTTTGAAGTACTATTATATATATATATATATATATATATGTATATGTATATGTACATATGTATTTGTTTGGCACTGGGGATCGAACTCAGGACCTTGCTCTTGCCAGGCAGGCATTTATGCCATGGAGCTACATCCTGGCCCTGAAGTAGCACTTTAGGAAATTAATTTTAAAAGAACTTAAAGAGTTTTGCTGCCAATTAAATGAGTATCTCACTTAAAATATCTTAAAGCTTAAAATATTTATTTTCTTTAAATCATTTTTTAATAAACATTTTACAATTGTATTCTATATATCATTTAGAATTCTAAATTCTCTAAGTTTATATTCTGTAAATCTATAACTTTAAGATATTCTGTAATTAGAGTAGAATTTTAATTGGCTGTATGTAACATGAGAATTCACACAGTCATTAAATATTTAGGATAATATCTTTATCATTAGAATTAAAGCATTACAACTTTGAAATTTCTTTTACTTTGAAAGATCAAAGTAAGATGTATTGTTAAAGTTGTGTGGGGAAGAGTTTTCCACCTCAGAATATTCAAATCCCTTAAATAAGCATACATAGTAGATAGAGTTTGTTGTCACCTTTTAGGTGATACCAAAACACAATAGCAGTTGGGTGCCCAAGACAGTACTTCTCAACCCTAAGTGTACAGACACAGCTCTTGGGGTTTTGATACAAATAAAGATTGAGGCTTAGCACTAGTGAGGTGGAGCCTGACCATCAGCCTGTCTCACAAGCTTAGTGATACAGTTGCTTCAGGTCTGAGGTGAGCTTTTCTTTTTCTTTCTTTCTTTCTTTTTTTTTTTTGAGACGAGATCTTGCTATGCAGTCCAGGCTGGTCTTGAGCTCATGGTGATCCTTCTGCCTCGGCCTACTGAGTACTGGATTTACAGGTGTGCACCACCATGCCCAGTCTGAGATGAACTTTGAGTGCCTGGCTTGAGAGTACTGAATTAGCCTGGTGGCCAGGGCACCTGATGTTAACTGCCACAAATGGAATAACGTTCTTAAGCCACAGTTTTCTTTTTCATATGTTACATAGAGGGGTTAAAATTGCTGGTATTTCTTCTAGTTCCCAAGATTTTGATTCTTTGTTAAGTGCAAATTTATCTAATGTTGCTGTTTAATTATGTTAGGCATCAGTTTACCTCATTTTAATGAGGAAAACTTGAATATTTGAAGATTATGATCACAAATATCATCTTGTTTTTTAAAAGCTAAAGCCTTGAAAGTCTTGATAAAACTAAGTTGATAATGTAAAGTTAAAAGTGCTGATTTTCCTGCATTAAAATGGTTTGAACAACTTATATGATTTAATATGTAAGTGGAACAGTATTTGTTATGCTGGAGTTTGATGACTTGGGGAGCAGGCAGGTGTGTTGAGTCAAGTGTTTGGGATAAAGGGGTCATATGGCTACAGCCCAAGTAAAAGGGGATTTGGCGTAGGACTTGAAGCCACGAAGGGGCCTAGGACAGCAGTTATGTCAGGGAGGAGCATGGGAGGCTTCCTTGACTGCTCCTGCTTCCCTAGCCCTAGCGGGGACCTCTGCCTCAGGCATTTGAGTGTGTGTTGCTGGGCTTTTAATATGATTAGATGAAGGGGGAATTTTGTTTTAGATTTTTAGCTTGCACTGATAGCAGTAGAAAACTAGCAGTCCTACTATATTGCAGTCAATTAAAAAGGCATTTGATCTATCATGTCAAATTGTCTTTTGTTTATTATAAAGGTTCAGCATGATTTCTCATTTTCTTCAAGTTCAGTTTTCTGTAATGAAATGATTTAGCAACAGTCATAAAATCATATTATAATTTATTTAAGACTTTTACTGGTACTATTGCATGCAGTCATAGGGACTGATTTATTTAGCAAATGCTACTGCAAAATTGTTGTATGCTAGGCCTTGGACACTAGAGCTATAACATGCTGAACCACCCAGGCATGGTCTTCGCAGTCATGAATCTTTCACTCTAGTGAAGGAGATAGATATCAAATAAAAAAACCACACAAATATAAATGACAAACTTTGTAAGGGAAACATTTATATTCATTTTGTTCTAACTACAAAAATATCTGAGAGAATAGACGCTTAGAGTTAAGCAGCATTAAGTGGTAATAACATGACCCAAATGAGATGAAATATGTTGTCTAGAAACTAAAAATGAATCTATAGACTGGGGAAATTATTTAATAAAGCAGAATAGCTGAAAGATATTAGCTGTTAGGAATGTATTCTGATCATTTTAAAGTTCTTTGCAGAGGAATTTTATTTGGAGAACACTGCCTTCTCCAAGTGTTCTTCCAATTTGTAGTGATTTTAAAATGTGGCAATAATTCAGAAACATGGAGATTCACTTCAGTTTCACAGTCGTAGTACTGCTTAACCTGATTAAGTGTGTAAGTCTGATGAGCAGAAGGGTGCCTCTTGTGCAGAGCTGGGTATGGTTACTAAACCCCTAAATGATTCGAGTGTGCAGAAACTTTGCTCATTCCCTGTTTCTCTGGACCGTTAGGGCTGAAGTAGTTTAGCTCTAACTGTGATCTGCCCCTACCAGTGGGTAGTTATGGCAGTAAGCATTCGATATGGGAGAGGAAGTTCCAGGTGTCCTGTGAGTCTTGGGCCAGTGCTGGCACTTCCAGTTCAGTCAGCGGGCAGCTTGACCTTCAGTTTTGGTATGCAATGACCCACTTTGTGAGAACGTAATGAGAAATAGTTCTGTGCAATGGGGACAGTTGAGCGCTAGGATGGATTGAGCCAGTGCAGACAGACTCCTGTGGGCACAATTCCTTTTGATCTTTACATTTATAAATAGACTCATTAAAATATTAATAAAAATGAAGTTTTTATAGATGTATATGTATATGAGCAAGCTGGTATGTATTTACATGAGAAAACAAAAATGTAAGTTCTTGTTCCTTTGAAATTAAATTGCCATTGTGGTCAGTTGGCTGTCCCCTGCCTAGTTCTTAGATACCTCGTCAGATCCTATGCTTCAGGGTATAATCTAATTCTCAGTGTATTTAGAAAATAAGTGTTTCCCCAGTCCTGTAAATCATTGTGTTATTGGTTGAATGGTGATTTCTGTATTTCTCTGAAGCATCAGATAGGATAGTTTACATGGTCAAGTGACTGACTCTTAGTTCCTGTTGACAATTAGTTTTTAAAAGTTTGAAAAAATTGAACAGTTTCCTCTGTTCTTTAAGAACATATCCTTATTCTATTTTTTTTAGTCTGGCTGGTAAAGAGGACTATGCAGACACTGACCAAGAGAAAAAAGAAGAAAAAGGTGCTCTAGAAAGAGAAAGTAATGACTTAGAAGTGGTGAGTATGGAAGAATGAATTTGTGAATCTTAGACACAGGCTATTGGTTGCAGATAACCATAAGTTCGTATGTAGAGAAAGGAAATGTTTGTCACGCATGCAGTGCATACTGCCGCCTTCAGGACTTCTGTTCCTCCCAAGTGGGGGCCGTGACGTATCGGCACCCCTCACCGTGCCGTGCTGTGAAAGCACGAAGTATATGAGGAGGTAAAATACTAGGACTACTGATGAACCCTTTGAAGGCAGAATTATTATATAACAGCCTGAAACTCTTGGGAGGATTTTTGAGTTGGTGAACAGTTTGTGCTTCTGTACTCAGTCATCCATCCTTATTTTCGTGAGGCAGTCAGTTTGTTTTACCAACTCTGTGTTCTCTGTGGTCGCAAATCCCATTTCAGGAAGAGAGTCAGGAAATGAGTGATCATGAGGATGAGGAAGAGGAGGAGGAAGACGAAGATGACGTGGAAGGAGGCGAGAGCTCCGATGAGTCAGATTCTGATTCGGATGAGAAAGGTACTTGCTGTGTTGTATGAGGGCAGAAATTCATTTTGGGAAGTTATATGAACCACAGTAGAAAACTTAATATTCTCCATTATATTCTTTTTTTTTTTTTGTATTAGGGATTGAACTCAGGACCTTGTGTTTCCCAGGCAGACACTTATGCCACTGAGCTATCTCCCCAGTTTCCATTTCATTCTTAATGAAAGCAGCTTTTATGGCTACTGACCTGCACATACCCCATAAGGCACATGTGCTAAGCAGTGAGCTCCTTTGCTTACTGGGTTCAGTGATTGTGTTTTTTGCTCTTTTCTTTAGTGATATCGTTTGCTCTGAGCATGGTGAGCATCATCTTTTTCACCTTTTTAGAATATGGTTTACCTAGGAAATGCCCCTAACAGCTGGCAAGTAGATATGTAACTGTGAATGATGGATGTTATATTTTTCTTTAAAAGCTAAGATTACAATATTTTGGCCTATTCCCAGTATTTTTCTTTTTCTTTTATAAATAGCCAATTACCAAGCAGACCTAGCAAATATTACTTGTGAAATTGCAATTAAGCAAAAGCTGATCGATGAACTAGAAAACAGCCAGAAAAGATTACAGACACTGAAAAAGCAATATGAAGAGAAGCTGATGATGCTGCAGCATAAAATTCGGGACACTCAGCTTGAGAGGGACCAGGTGCTTCAGAACTTAGGTAAGAGGCGTGTTTATTGCAGGTGAGACTTTAATCTACGTCATCAATATGGATTTTTATCTTCTGTTCCTTTAGGAGAAAAAGAAAGAAGCTAAGTTAAAATTCTTTTCAACTCTAACTTTGTGCTTTTTGCTTTAAAATTACATATTACATGTTAGTTTGCCTCATGTTAAATATTGTTTATTTTTTCAATAATGGATCTACTTTTTTTTTCATGCTGATATCTGTCTAGGTTATTTGCTGTCTATAAAGTGTGTTTTTTTCAATGTCTTGATTTACGTCTGGGTCACTTTTAAATTTTTTTAAAAAACCACACTTCAAGAATTTTAAGCAAATTTTATAGATAATTAAGAGAAAATGAATGGTATCCTGGATTTGATTTTGTGTGTCTCAGTTGTTAACTTCTTATCATCATAAGTTGTAAATCTGTGAAATAAAAATGTATGTCTTGCTAAAAATAGAATTATCATTGGTTGTTCAGGCTCTGTGGAATCTTGCTCAGAAGAAAAGGCAAAAAAAATTAAGTCTGAGTACGAAAAGAAACTCCAAGCCATGAACAAAGAATTGCAGAGACTTCAGGCAGCTCAAAAAGAACACGCAAGGTTACTCAAGAATCAGTCTCAGTACGAAAAGCAATTGAAGAAATTGCAGCAGGATGTGATGGAAATGAAAAAAACAAAGGTATTGATTATGTTTTTATTAAGGTCTGATGTTCAGGATGTTTGCTTGTGTCATTTGGGACAAAAAATTATTGTGGTTCTTTCTATATTCTGTACCAGGTAACTCCATCTCACAAATGATGCACTGCCTTTGGGCAAGTGGGACAGTTTTTTTTTGTTTTTTTTTAACATAGTCTCTAATCATCAAAGCCTTTCTTCACAGTTGCTGAAAATGTAATCAACAGGGATTCTCAGACTTTGATTTTTGTATCTTAAAACTCCTCCACAGGGCCGGCCAGATAGCTCAGTGGACTAAAGCTCCTGCTTAGGCAGAGCACAGTGGCCAGGGTTCAGTTCCTATTGTGCTGTGCTGGCCTGGCCCCTGGGGGAGCACTGAGACAGTGACTGAGACTGGGTGTGGTGGCGCGTGCCTGTAATCCCAGCACTTGGGAGGCTGAAAACAGGATCACTGTGAGTCCAATCTATGTAGTGAGACCCCGTAGACCTTGTACTAAATACAAAAACAACAACAACAACAACAACTCCACAAGGTTTGCAAAGCACACAATACTTCGTACATGCAAAAAACCTTAGATGATAAACAGTGTATCTACTACCTAGTTTACAATATTATAAATAGATACTAAGTTTCCTGTGTATGTCATTCTGATCATGTTCCTCGTTCCCTAAGAGGTAACTACTAGCTTGAATTTCTTGTTTTTTTATCCCATGCATTGAAAAGTATGTTTTCTTTCTCTGACAAAAAAAAGAGCATACAAATCCTGATCTTTTACCTGTTATTGTTGTGGGTTCAATTATTTATAAGATCTGGCATGACAATCAATATAGTTTCTTTTTTTATTTTTTAAAATTTTTATTGATTTATTTATTTGGTACAGGATCTTGCTATGCAGCTAGGACTCACAGTGATCCTCTTTTCTCAACCTCCCCAGCGCTGGGATTATAGGTGTGCGCCACCACGCCTGGGCCAGCACAGCATGCAGTACCAGGATTCAAACCTGGGTCCTTGTGCTTCTCAGGCAGGCACTTAGACCACCGACCCGTGTCCCTGGCCCAGTGTAGTTTCTTTAAAATAGCTAATATGAAAGTGATTTAGAAAACATATTGTGTAGTTGTTAAAATAATAATAGCTACAATTTGTTATGTGCTCGCTCTGTCTGAGGTCCTTGTACGATCACCGTTAGGTACACTGAATTTTGTCAGTAGTCCACTGTTGTGGAAATACTCCTTTCACTTTACAGATGAGGACATCAAAGCATAGTGAGCTTAATTAACTTGTTCAAGATCACACATCTGCTGATGGTCATTCTCAAAATTCCCTTCAAGTTATGTAATAACTGAACATTGATTATGGAGCTCATAGTGCAATAAAGCACTTTGGTAGAAATTCCATAGAAATAGAAATGTATTAATCATGTCAAAATAAGAATCACTGAATGTTACTCCACTTGTTTTCTTGTTAAATATTCAGAATTCTAAGAGCCTTTTTCTATACCGGTGGTTTATTTAATTAATATGATAGAGTAATGCCACATATGTAATTTTAGGTTCGCCTAATGAAGCAAATGAAAGAAGAACAAGAGAAAGCTCGACTGACAGAATCTAGAAGAAACAGAGAGATTGCGCAATTGAAAAAGGATCAACGTAAAAGAGATGTGAGTAGACTTCAACTCCCATATGAGATTAGTGTCTGTTGAACAAGAGTGCTTGATAAATGGAGGCCGTGTTTAACCTAGGTGCAGGATGAGATCACAGAAAAGCGTCAGTTTATACACTGTTATTTGTCATAGTCTTTGAGGTACAGGCATTCCAGAGAAAAGCTCCTAGACAAGTAGCATTATTATACACGTTACTGGAGGAGTACTTCTTTTCTTTTCTTTTCTTTTCTTTGGCGGAACCGGAGATTGAACTGAGGCTCTTGCTTGGGAAGCGCTCATTGCACTGAGCCGTCTCCCCGGCCCTGGAGGTGTATTTCTTAACTGATGATGGAGATAGTAGGGGGTGAATGCTTTTCTCTGGGAGATCAAGGAACCAGTCTGAGTAGTACTTAAGATAGTAATTTCAGGATGATTTTCAAAATAATTTTTTTACTAGGGATTTTTACAGATGATTTGGGGATAATAATCAGTCCTGTAGAACTTTTCATACCCTTTGACATAAGAATTCTCCTTCTATGAATTCAAACTAAAAAAAAAAGTCTAGAATCTTTTTTAAAACCCTCTCTTTAGAGATATTGGTTGATTTTTCTTTTAGACAGGGTCTCATCTTGTAGTGCAGGCTGTCTCTGAACTCACCGTGTAGCTCAGACTGGTCTTGAACTCACAGTACTCCTGCTTCAGCTTCCATCAGCTCCGGCATGCCCAGCTGCTTAGTGTTATTTGTAATTGTGAAGGACATAGCAACAGCGTTGCCTGACAGCAGGAGTAGTGGGTAAATGCGTTATGATTCATTGCGTTTAGTGGACTATTATTTACCCATTAAAAATTCAAGCTTAGAAATTGGGCATGGTAGTGTACTTCTGCAATTCTGGCACTCTGGGAGGCTGAGGCAGGAAAATTGCAAGTCCAAGCTCTGCTAGAGCCGTGTAAGGAAACTGTGTCAAAAAAAAAAAAAAAAAAAAAAAGGCTGGGAGTGTGTTTAGGCGTTGGGTTCAATCCCCAGTGTGGGGAAAATGTGAGACTTGAAAACAGTACATAGGTCTATTAAAAAATGACTACAATCTAATATTAAGTGGAAAGTTGTACTTCATGAATATATATACTGGATTACAATGATGAAAAAATAATTGAAGGATGCATTCCAATATATTAACTGTGAGTGTGGTAGGATTGTAGATTATGCCTGTGTTTTTTTTTTCAAAGACTTGGAAATATTTTTATTTTTTTTATTTTTATTTTTTTTGCTCTGAATGCCCTCAGGGGTGGTTTGGCTGGCTGGAGCGTTGTGGGGATCGAACTACAGCAACCTGAGGCTGACAGCTTTGTGGAAGCAGCCACTTAAACAACTGAGCTAAGGCCAGGCCCCCCGGAAATATTTTTAAAATGAAAAATATATTTATAATTTTTTTTCTTAGACATGAGAACGTTTTCCACCCACCCCAGTCCTTTATTTCTTATGTTTCAGTCATTGTTCCTGTTTTCTTTCTCAGTTTTTTCTTAATCTTCTCTGGAAAAAATATGGTTATATAATATATTTGAGAAAGTGGAATAGGAAAGTGTGCTTTGAAATACTATGAGAATAGAGAATAAAGAGCAGAGAGTTGTAAGGTAGAAAAATATGTATTTGACCAAATGACTGAACATGTATTTCTTTCTTCTTTTGTCCCTTCAGAAGAGCAGTTTATTTTCATAATTAGTATAGTTATCATATCAATTCCTGAGCATTCTAGATTTATGTAGTTTGTTTCTATTAAAAGCAAGTAAAATATATTTTATTGCCTATTTATTGCTATTTTTAAAAATTGAGACAATTTACGGAAGTCATCAAAGGGAATAGTTCTAGGTTTTAGTGCATTTAGAGTTGTGTAGAATCACTACTATCTAATTCTAGAACATTTTCATTACTCCAAGAAAACCCCCGTATCTTAGCAGCTACTCTCCACTGGCTCTTGTTTCCTGCAGCCACAGAGTTATTCTGTATCCTCTGAATTCTCTTCATTTAGTGCTTTCGTGGCAAAAGAACCCTACCTGTGTGGCCTTTGATGTGTGGCTTTCTCTTGGCATGATGTTTTCAGTGTTCACCACCTTGAAGCATGCAGCAGACCTCATTTCTTTCATGGCTGTATGGTAGAGCACATTTTAGAAAATCCATTCATTAATTGAAGGATATTTGGGTACAGTATTTCCACTGTTTGGCTGTTTATTTTGTTCTTAATAAAATCTTTTTTTTTTTCTTTTTTTTTTGGTGGTACTAGGGATTGAACTCAGGCCCTTGTGCTTGCCAGGCAAGCACTTATTCCACTGAGGTATCTCCCTGGCCCCTGATAAAATCTTGTGTGACAAGAATAATAGTACTGTTTCATTATTGCTAATTCATCTGAGCTACGTGAGATCAATATTGAACAATTAACTCATAGGATGAAACTTTTGAAATGTCTCTGAACATATGATGCCAGTATTCTGTAATAGAGATATATGAGGCTGGCTAATTTCATAAATGCTGGTACTGAAATTTCTCTCTCACTTGTTCATGTGCATATTTGCTTCCTTTCTAAATTATTATTTGTCATATTCATTGACTATGCCCCAAAGTGTGATGTTTGTAGACCATAAAAAAAGAAACAAATTGTTTTTGTATTTTTTTGCCATAATTTTATTGATAAACAAATAGCAATGAGACAGTTTCAAATCAAATCGGTAGGACAGTTTTTGTTTTTGTATTAATGGAAGATTTAATGTAGTAATAAGTTTCAAGCTGTACAGTAAGTAGTTTGATAATCTATTCAACTAAAAAATATTTATTAACTTTGGCTGTGTGTCCCTCATTGTGGTAGACAGTGTGGCTATAACAGTGATGAAATAGAACCCTTTTCTCAGTTGACATCTGATGGGATAGGAATATAAACATGAAAAGAGTGAGCGATTTGGATTTGGGGTACAAGCAGGAGGTTCATGTGACACACTTTAGGTGCTAGGAGGGATATGCATATTCAAATCTAATTCCTAAGCGTTGGCCAAGATTGGGCAATTGAATAAATGCTAAAATCAGAACTAGGATCCATGTTCTTTTTCAGTCCAGAATTATTTCCTAAGTAAAAAGTATTTGCATAATAAGCACCAGAGTATTTGATAAATGGAAGTATATGGTAGAGACAACCTCATTTTTAAGGAAGGAATGGTTGTATCAGTATGTTTATGTTTCTTGAAATAAGAGAGCTATTTGTACTCCTGGAAATAAGTTATCAACTCAGATTCTGCTGAGAATGGGAGGTGTTATATTTTTCAGTTCATTACTTCAACTTACTCATTTATCTTATAGCATCAACTTAGACTCCTAGAAGCCCAAAAAAGAAATCAAGAAGTGGTTCTTCGTCGCAAAACTGAAGAGGTACAGTAAGCAAGTTGATCGTTGGGAGGAATTAGTCTAGTCTGACTTTGAAATAAATGAAATATTTCTATGTGCTGAAAGAATGAAACAATCCTGGGGCCGTTTCAGGTTACAGCGCTTCGTCGGCAAGTGAGGCCCATGTCTGATAAAGTGGCTGGGAAGGTCACTCGGAAGCCGAGCTCCTGTGAAGCCCCCAGTCAGGACATGGGTTCCAGTGCAGCTGCTGTGGAGACAGAAGTGTCAAGGGCAGGCACACAGCAGAAAGTGAGAATTCCTGTGGTGGCCAGGGTCCAGGCCTTACCAACACCCACAGCAAATGGCACCAGGTTTGTGCGACTCTTCCGTTCCTCCTGACATCTTTGTGGCCTTTGGTACTGAATGCCATGAGCAAGGGAAACATGTCTCACTAGCGGGCAATGCCCAATCAAAGAAGTGTGTAACTGTTACTTATATGTGTTTTCATGTGATATAGAAAAAAGTACCAGAGGAAAGGATTGCCTGGGCGGGTCTTCACCTCCAAGACAGCCCGCGTGAAGTGGCAGCTCCTCGAGCGCAGGGTCACTGACATCATCATGCAGAAGATGACCATTTCCAACATGGAGGCTGACATGGACCGGCTCCTCAAGGTGTGAAACACTCTTGGCTGACGTCTCATTTTGCTTTTCCAAATTTGTTCCCTGGATACCATGAATACTTACCAGGTTGTTGTTTCATTTTTGATGTACTATGTATGAGGAGATGAAAATCACTTCTTAACATATAACCTGCATTTTCAATAGCAACGGGAAGAACTCACAAAAAGACGAGAAAAACTTTCAAGAAGAAGAGAGAAGATAATCAAGGAGAGTGGAGAAGGGGATAAGAATGTGGTGAACATCAACGAGGAGATGGAGTCACTGACTGCTAACATAGATTACATCAATGACAGTATTTCTGATTGTCAAGCCAATATCATGCAGATGGAAGAAGCAAAGGTTTGTAACTTAGAAAATGCTTAGCTGTTTAATGGGGAGTATTTGGTGTCTTGAAAACTGATTCTCAAGTTTAACCATTCTATCTGCTCTCGAGATTTCTCTGCCGATTGTGTGATTTTGCAGATTGATTATACAGCCCATGTGCCATTGAGTACATTTGGCCTTGGATTCTCTCTAAACTTTGTAAATGTGTGCTTTTTCAGGTAGCCTATATGTTTCTTGGTACAGGGTTCAAATATGATGCTTTTCTGAGCAGTTTCATTGTTTATTCCAGTACTAGAGGGTTAGTACATTAGGCTTTTGCCTCCTGCTTAAATACATCCAGATCAAAGTAATGATTATGAACCTCCGGATTGATGCAGGAAGAAGGTGAGACCTTGGATATCACTGCGGTCATTAATGCCTGCACACTTACAGAAGCCCGATACCTGTTAGATCACTTCCTGTCGATGGGCATCAATAAGGTACGTTGTAACTGCCCTGTGAAAATCCGCGTTGTAGGGCCGGCCAAGTAGCTTAGTGGATTAAAGTGCCTGCTTAGGCAGAGAGCAGCAGCAGGGGTTCAGTCCCTGGCCTGCTATGCACTTTCCATGCCAACCCCACCCCTGGGGTGTGCTGAGATGGCAGTTGAGACTGGATGTGGTGGCACACGCCTGTAATCCCAGCTCTTGGAAGGCTGAACACAGGAGAATCACTACAAGTCCAGTGAAACCCTGTGGACCCTGTACTAAAATACAAAAAAAAAAAAAAAAAAAATCCACATGTTGATCAGTTCATTGTAGTTATGCTTCTCTTTTCAGTAAACTTCTTTGTAATAAAGCAGATTCATAATTGAAAATATTTTTTAATCTTTTCACTAGAGCTAAGAAAGTTAACAGTATCTATATTGACTTCCTTAGCTATTATACTCGTGTGTCAGCTCAGACAAAACATCTTGAAGAATAATTCACATTTTTCTTTAACAATGAAGAATCCTCAATTTGATGTCATAACTGGCTTAATACCGATCGTTTGCAACTCGAAGGACAATCAAGTGGAAAAAACAATGTGAATATGAATGCTCTAGTGTGCTACCAATAAACGTGACAGCGACTTCTGACTCACTTGTGTTCTATAAGAATATGCTAGACAGTTAATATTGTTTTCTCATTTCATCTTCACAATGTGCCAGGAAATAAGTATTGTTCATGTCATATTATGTGAGGAAACAGATTCCAGAAGATAGCATTTTGACAGGTAAAACTGTCCGAGGTCCCCAAGCTTGTAAGTAAGCAACTGAGACATACTCAGGTGTGTCTGACATAGAGCCCATGTGCTGTGTACATCTGCGGTGCAATGCAGGTCTTCTTGTGGTTGCTGCTGTTTTGTACGACCTAAGAAGTTCTTTGCTGTGGTTGTTATTGCAGGGTCTTCAGGCTGCGCAGAAGGAGGCTCAAATCAAAGTATTAGAAGGTCGACTCAAACAAACTGAAATAACCAGTGCTACGCAGAACCAGCTTCTCTTCCACATGCTGAAGGAGAAGGCAGAATTGAATCCTGAGCTGGATGCCTTATTAGGCCATGCTTTACAAGGTAACTGGACACAGTTCTAGCTAACAAGTTGCATGTTAGTACTGCCCTTTGAACGTGCTTATCATGTATCTCCTTCCCCTATGGCTTGCCTGAATAGATGCTCCACCTACTTATGCTTGTCCTAATTATTCTTTCTTTAATTTGCATGTGTATGTAAACTTTGGGGGAAGTAGTTATAGTTCCAGGAAGTGATTACCAATTTTAAAAAGGCATACTTTACCTTATTAAGCAATTGATTTTTATGGACAAAGAAGACCAACCGAGGTAATGAATTGGTTATTTATTTAATTTAAAAGGTTAGCCAAGTTTCATTACTTTTCTCTGCGTATCTAACTGCCCTAAAATAAATTGTGTTTGCTCTGGCATCTATTCCATATGTCTGATAAGTGCTACATAATATTGTTTTATGTGAGAGTTCTTAACATTGGATCTGTTTTGATTGGAGTATTGCTTTTTGTTTCCTTTTGCTGTTATTTATACAGATCTAGATAGCGTACCATTAGGTAAGTATGTTTAGCTTTCTGTGTACCTACAGCTGCATGAATTACTAATTGTTCATGTACACTAATGGTGGTACATTGTATATTGAAAATTTTTATTGACAGCCAACTGGTTTTTGCATGATTTTTTGAAATGTATCTATGATCATGAATGTACTAAGTCTTTTGTCTTTATTAAACATTCTTGATATAAGAATTCTTAGGTATTTAGAGAATATATTTTAGTTAATTGTCCTTTTAGTATTTGGGCTCCAGTTTCATAAATCTTCTGAGCTCTTTCTCTTTCTTATAGGGAAACAGAATAAATATATATATTAACTTGCATCTGTTGTTTTAACCTCACAAATAACATTCTTTTATATATATCTTTGGTATATATTTGTTAGATTCTCATCTGTTTTTATAAAATTAGGTACACTTAATATTATAAATTGAATAAAATTATCTGAGTACTTTATGTGGCTAGTTTAATTCTATATTTGTACTCATAAGCATAATTTCAAAATGGAAGGGGCTTTAGAAATCACTGAGTTCGGAGGTTTCTTTTTAACATTTTTCCCTTACTCTTCCCAATCTATACGAACTATTTCCACACACTGGTAACGTGTCGCCTGCTCTTAATGATGGTAGAGGGTTAGCACCAGGAGCACTAGGGACATTTCATTACTGGTGATAATTCAGAATGATTATTTTAGAGAAGGGTTTTAAAAATTATTTAAATATCTGGATCATAACTTCCCCCAAATTACATAGCTATTATGTTTTCTAAATGTTTTCATTTAAAAGAAAGAAAGAAACTAGAAGTTTAAGTGCAATCAATAACCGGAGGGAATTTTGTTTCTGCCTTCCGCTCTAATCAAGAGTGATTAGAATGAATATGATTGGGGCCGGGGAGAGGGCTCAGTAGAATAAGTGCTTCCCTGGCAAGCTCAAGGGTCTGAGTTCAGTCCCCGGTTCTGCCAAAAATAAAAAAAAAGATAAAAATGGGCTGGGGAGATGACTCAGTAGGAGAAGTGCTTCCCTGGCAAGCGCAAGGACCTGAGTTCAAGGCCTTGTTCCAAAAAAAAAAGAATGAATGTGATCTTTGAATTTGCACTTATTTTAAATGACAAGTTGTCAGAGAAAACATAAGGCCTGTTTGATTTTTACACTACATGTTAATACCAAATTAATATTTCCTGAGATCAACTGCATTGTGTAGCATAGTGTAATGGTCATATGCAAATCTGTTATCTAAGCTGCTGAAGCTGTGGTAAAGAAGCACAAGACCATTTAGAAGTGACTAAAAGGAGTCGTGTTAGGCTGCTCCAGAGCCTAGTGTTACAAAAAGCATTTTTGCCGTTCTGTGTGTTATCAAGCAGATTTTCTTCCTTCCTCCCTCTTCCTCTGTGCCTTCCCCTCCCCACCCTTCTTTCCTCTTTAATTCTTCCACGTCTTTCTCTTCTTAGTCTTTTCTTCATGCTTTTTTCCCCCTTTCTCCTCCTTATGCTGGTTCACCTCTTCCTCTTTGGTTTTCTTAATATCTCCATTTATAGAAATTTATGACGTCTTTTATCTTGGAAGAAAAATTCCTTGCACTCCTTAGATGCAGAAAAATACTAAGCTACTAATTTGATAAGCAGTGCTACGTTTTGCAGCTTCCAAACAACTTTCAGTGTACAGTATGAAGAAGAGCAGGCAGCAGAGGACAAACTCATTCAGATGATGTAGGCTGTGACTCAAGGCAGAATTTTCCCCAAGATTGGGGACATTGTCTAGACTAGAAGAGCTGGAAAAAGAAAACAAATGGAAGCTAAACCATCAGAAGGCAGTCATAGTTGCCTTGCTTTAAAAACTTTTAGTTAGCTCTCTAATTTATTGCACATATTAGGCAGCGTGCTGGGTTCAGAGACGAGTGGGACACTAACCTGTCTCCAGGGACCTGATGATGAGTGTGCAGGTGGTGACTAGACTGTGACATTATAACGAAGGAGCAAGGAAGGTACGTATAAGGAGGAGTGGGAGCACAGAGAAGAACAGAAGTATGATGAAGGCTTTCCGGAGGAGAGGACATTTGAGCTAAAAGATAGTATTGAAAGAGGTCAGAAGAGTCATTCCAGGATGAGGGGTGGCACAACTGAGGCATGGCGATGTCGCTATGATATTTTTGCACGATGCCTACAAACATTATGGCTCTCAAACAACATGGACAGGACGGGTGAGGATGGAATTTAAGGCTGGTGGCTGAGCCAGGGCCAACACCCGATGCCACGAGGCTTGTACTCTTGTAACTGAGTAGTTGTACTGAGTTTGCCCAAATCATGCCTATCTCTAGAGCTTAGATAGAAGACTTAGGAGACTCAGTGAATAGTTGTATTTGTGGCTAAGATTTATGAGACAAATGTAGTAAGGACACAGAGCTGGATCAAAAGGGCAAAACACATAGATGGAGCCTCCAGGAATCCAAGTGCAAGCTTTCTTAGGTCTTTCTCACCCACGAGAGATCACATAGAATTCGGTCTTTCCTCATGAAGAAAAATGCAGCAGTGGGGCAACTACTGGGGTTCCCCTTCCATCCCTCTCTTGGACAGCTTTCTTCCTCCCAAATAAATGTTCTGCTCTTAAAAAAATGCAACAGTATATGTGTGAGTGTTTTACCAGGGAAATCCGTTAGGCATTCAGTGTCCCTGGGCTTTTACTGGAGATGGTCACATAGGTATCCTTTGTTGAGCATGTACCAGAATTCTAGGCTCCTGGAAGGAGAATAAGCATCAGCGTAGCCTCTGTTGCTGGGGCAGTCGAGGCATAGTGAACAGCCTTGGTATTAGTTAAGTGTTGACCAGGGATGCTCTCAAAGTTAAGTGTTTGTATGTCAGCCCAAGTGTGGTTTTGTAAGCAGATGTTTCTGAAGAGAGCAGGGTTGCTATACTGAGTCTTGTCTTTACCTTTTAACATAAATACACATGTAATACCCCAACTATTTGGTTAACTTCCAATGAAGTTGAACTGAGAAGGTTCATCCTGATGTAAATCATATTAGGACAGCAGGGAATTTTGTTTCTGCCTTCCGATTAAAGCCATTATAATGAGAAAAGCTGCTGGCCTTGGGCTAGAGTTACTGTCTCCGAGGCGGGAGTGCAGCAGTGAGGTGATGGTGTGTCCTCTGCCCAGAAGACCAGAGCTTCAGGTCAGTCTCAGTCCTGAAGTTGTGTCTGGACTGGTGCCTGTCTGGGTGAGCCCTCTTTGGTCTGGCCAGCTTGGTTCTGTGAAGACATAATTATCTCTAAATCCGGCACACATGCACAAGCAGGGGTTCAGCGGTTCCTCCCATAAAGCTTAGCGTTCTGGTTGGTTTTACCACTCCCTGCGAGAAAAATACCAGCAAGTCTCAGCCTGCATTTGCACATGAAAGCAGAGGTTAAGCTTGCCATTTCTTTATGACCTTACTTCTTATGTTACCCACAAAGTCAGTCTCCTTAGCTCCCAATTATCCTGCCTCTGAAGCAACTCCTTAAGCTTCCTGGTGAGTTACACATCTTGCTTTTGAACGTAAATTCCCTTGGGTGGGCCCCAGGTGGAGGACATCAGCAGAGAGCCAGGAAGTGTGGAAAGATAAGGAGTTCTTGCCCTTTACCTGCAGGACAGAGACTTTAAAAAGGAAGTGAGCCCTATATATTTTGTTAACATGTATGTTTCTCATAATGTTGTCTTTTAGTTTTGTGGAATGATTTTATAATGTGTATATTTAAGAAATTATGTTAGGAGCTTGCTGACATTTTAAATAGTTTATCTTCTGACTTTGATTTACTGATATTTCTACTTGTTTTATATGTTTGTTCTCTCCTGTTTCCCTTGTCTGCTACAGTTGTTCTGAAATAGCAGTGGTTTGCTTGTATTCGTTTGTAAAACTGCATGCAAATCTCTTGTTTTTGTCTTATTTGTTCGTGTGGCTGGCTGCATGCTCAGGTGTGAGTTCTGTGTATCTGTTTACACTCACTGAAAGGCAAAAATTTTTTAAAATTAAAAAGGTTAAATAAGTGTAGCAACTATGTTTTCACTTGCCCAGCATTAATGATTGACTCAGGACATGTAAAGCAACTTATGTAGCATTTATTTTGACCTTGTGTTTTTAATCATCAGATTTTTATGTGTGTGGATAGTGCAGGATAAAAGTATATAGCCCTGAAAAAATGTATATAAAATATTTATATAATTATGTATAGTCAGATAAATACATTATTTCATTTCCATCCTATAAATATGTTATTCTTCCAGGTATCATTACTTAAATTCCTGGTTTTCCTATTTTTTAAATACATTTCCTCAGAACATATAATCAAGGACTTTCTTAGAAATATTTTTCCACGATTCTCTTTTCATTCAGCTACTAAGACCGCAGAGCCCAGGCTGAGGTGTTGGGCTGACGTTTATGTAGCGTAGGGCTTGTGCTCACCGTTGAAATTGTGACCCGTAGATAACACGCTTTGGACTTTTTTTTTTTTTTTTATATAGAAAATGTAGAGGATAGTTCTGATGAGGATGCACCTTTAAACAGCCCTGGATCTGAAGGAAGGTAAGAGAGCTGTTAGATCCAATAGATTTGACTTGGTCCTATAAAGTTTTTTCATAGTTTTATATCAGTTCCTATAAAACAAATTTGAAGTTTATGGCTAATGAATAGCATTAGAAACAATAGTATTGGAGCCAAACTAAATGATGTTTAATTTAAAATGAAAACACAGGGGGGCTGGGGAGATGGCTCAGTGGAATAAGCGCTTCCCTGGCAAGCTCAAGGGCCTGAGTTCAATCCCTGGTTCCACCAAAAACACAAACAAACAAACACAGCTGTATAAGAAAGAATGAAGTATTTCTTAATAAATTTATTTTGATTTTACGTATTGTCTTCCTGTGTTTTCCATTCACATATACCTTTTTTCATAGTTGTAAACATAGAGTAGTAAGCATACGGTTCTTGATGATAGGTTATCATTTAATCTTGTGGTTAACTTTTCATTTGTATGCAGCAGTCTGTCTTCAGACCTTATGAAGCTTTGTGGTGAAATGAAACCAAAAAACAAGGTAAGGAGAACTGCAAACGCCAGGCCAACATGTGGCCCCTGTCCCCTGTCACTGCTGTTATCAAGCACACAGGCTCAGGTTTGTCTCTTAGTACAGTGAGTAGGCATATTTTTTTCCAAAAATGTTTCATTTTGTAAAACATTTACAGTTTTCCTATTTTTTAAGTGATTATTGAAAAAGCTGTTTTTGAAGAATCTTGCTGGAACTTGGAATTTATTCTTGCACTTTTTTCACTGCATGAAATGTGATTACAAAAGCCGATTCTTAGGCAGTTAGCAGACCATGTTGTAGTGTACGGTACAAATCATCGCATTTTCAGGAGTCTTGGCATTTTAGCATTGTTATAAGTTTTTCTTATTTATTTTAACTAGTGTTTTGAGGTTGTCTGAATAATAAGCTGACCTATAATTCACATGATAAAAGTTATGAAGCTGTAATAAATATTCGTAGTTTTTTGTTTGTTTGCTTTGTTTTTTGAGATAGGGTCTCACTCTGTACTTCTTATGTAGCCCTGGCTGGCCTTGAACTTATGGTAATTGTCTTGCCTCAACCTCTCCAGTGCTGGGATTATAGGCATGTTCCACCATGCGTGGCTCTTTTGTAGGGTTTTATATATTAGTATAAGTGATGCTTGCTCTTAAACATGTAAGATACACGTAGAACATTTCAGATTGAGCACAATTGCATTTGATACTCGATGAGTTAACTAATGATCTTAAAATGTTTGGTAACTAAGAATTCTTTCAGTTTTTAGTAAATATTTATGGAATGATTTGAAAGCATAATACCTACCTGGCCTGGATGTAAAGTCAGGAGTGGGAGGTGGAGGCAGGGGATCCTGTGATTACCTGAAGAGGCCGTGTCCCGCCTGATGCACAGGGCCACCAGCCACCAAGTCTTGCTCCTGTTTGCATAGGGAAACATGAAACAGGAGCCTAAGACTAGCCAGATCCTTTGTTTCTTCAAGAGAAACTTTAGATAGAGGTTCTTGTATAGCGTTCCCTTATGTTTTAAACGCTGGGCAAGCTAATCACAAATCATCTCCACACTCTTTTTTTTTGTATTATCTTGACCTACTGGCTTGGCAACATGGTTTGTGTTTCATTGTTCTGACTGGCCAACCAGGCTGTGAAACCTCAAAGAAATCATTCTTTTTTTGTGGCACCAGGGATCAAACTTGAGACTTTGCACATGCCAGTCAAGGGCTTATGTCACTGAGCTGCCTCCCTGGTCCAAATAAAATATTCTGTAAGGTTTGGACCCAGTCCTAAGCAGAGAAGAGAATCTCTAAAGGTGACTTTTATTTTTCAGGCCCTGCCCAAGCCTAGTTAGTTGTGCCCATCTGAGATGTCAGAGAGATAGGAAAGACCTACGTGACCTGGAAGTCATTTCCTGACACAATTACTGTGGTTAGAGAGTCCCAGGAAAAGATTCTTTTCTGTCCTAGGACCTTGGCTCTGGAGAGTGTTGAAAGTGTCACAGACAGCTGCAGGGCACTCTCTTTCCAAATGTGTTCTGCAGTGCTACCTGCTACTTGCTTTGAACTGCAGAGATGCTGATAAAATCTCATGTAATTTCTTTTTCACTCATTTAAAAAACAGAGTTGATTGTTTATTTTAAATAGATCTATACTGGTATTGTGTTACTTGCAAGAGACATAAATTTGAATGAAACAACGTGCCTGCCCTCTGGTAACCACTTTTATCTGTCGTTTCCTAAGAGATACCGACAAGCAACTATGAACAGCCATTGTGCATTCACTTGGTTTTCACGAGTAGGCAAAGAATGCTTATAGTGAGTTTAATTTTTAAAGAAAATAATTTCATCAGCCCCACTCTACTGCCAAAGACTGGTGCAGGCTGGTATAGAATCATCCAGTGGGCAGACTAAAGATAAGAAATAAGTGTTGTCAAATTAAAAAAAAAAAAAAAGATAAAACTTTACTTTAAAAATAACTGGAAAAAAGAGAAAAATCAGGATGTAGTTGAGCATCCCTGTGCTCTTGAGTTCTTTATTTCATTCCTTCCTCTCTCTCCTTTTCCCTTCTCTCTTTTACAAAATACATCAAAGCAATAGCCACCTGTGGTGCGATCCTACCCTACCGTGCAGGCAAATTGTCCTGCTTTTATTCTGGCCTTTCTACTTCCTCTTGATGGCCTTGGCAGACCGTTTAGCTGCCCTCTGCTTTAGTTTCCTCTTTTGTGAACTGACATAATGGGGTCACCTGTCGGCATGCTGCAGTCACAAAGTGTGTAGAACTGTACCGGCGCATCCGCTTGTGCCCCTTCGGGGTCACTGTGGCCTCCAGAGGGCTCTTCTGACTCTGCCTGTGGCTTGTCACTGCCTCATATGCTCTTTTTGACACACCTGCTAGAGAAAGACGCTACATGTTTTTAACCTGTGCCAACTGATCCACATTTCTATCTTCTCATCAGGTTCTGTGCAAAAGCTTTGCTCCTGATTGCTTTTCCTTCCATCCCCTGACCAGGCCCGAAGGAGAACCACCACGCAGATGGAGTTGCTGTACGCAGATAGCAGTGAGCTAGCGTCCGACGCTAGTGCAGGAGATGCCTCCTTGCCCGGCCCTCACCCAGCTGCTGCAGAAGGGCGAGAGACTGGAACGAATGCAGACACCTGTGGCACCGCTGCTAGGGACAAAGAGCTTCCTCCCCCGCCTGGCTTACCTTCTAAGATAGGCAGCATGTAAGTCTGGCCCAGCTACACTAACTTTCTTTCTTTTGGCTTTTAAAAAATATGCATGTTGCTTATTTCTTACTTCCATTTTAAAACATATTTCTGTAAGAAAGATCTCTCATTTTCAAGATAGTATCTGTTAGGTATTATCCCCCTGCCCCCCTTTTTGGCCTGTCAGAATAATTTAAAGTGAGATATTCTTTGTTGAGTTGCTTTTTTCCTTCAGGTTTGAGGGTTGTTCTTAAGAACTGTGATTTTTATTTATTTTTTTTATGTAGTTGGTAGCGGGTCTCGCTGCATATCTCAGACTGGAGTGAACCTCCTGTCTCAGCCTCCCCAGTACTGGAATGACAGGTGTGCGCCATCTCGCCCTGTTTATGTGGCCAGCATAATGTGCCCAGGGTGGGGCGAACATGGCACACGGTACTGGGGCTTCAACCACGGTTCTTGTGCTTGCCAGGCAGGTGCTTAGACTGCTGAACTATCTCACCAACCCTAAGAACTGATTTGCACAAAGGCTGAGACATGAATTACAGACGAAGCTTATTTAGGGACTCCTGAAGTACTTTATATGAATAGAAAGTTTATAACTCAGATTTGATTTAAATTACTCATGTCCTCGTTCTTTCTTTGCTCACCCTTTTAAAGAAAGAAGAAACAGCAGTTATAAAATTAATACATTCTCAGTGTTTCTCTTTACCTTGAAGTATATTTCATGACTAAATACTTGTACTAAATATTTTTATTGGAATTATTAAGGATTTGAAGAAAGTATTATTTTGCCCATCTGATATTCTGAACAAGAAACTTTCTATTCAAGACAAGTCTTGCTTAAAATTTTTTTATTGCTCTTTTGAGAATAAAGAAAGATTTTCCTACACAGGCTAATGTATATATATTTATCTTATGTATGTATATGCTCTGGTAAAAAGTATGTTAAAACATGTTAACCAAATTATATTTTGGTTAAAGTTATGTTAAAATTAGACTTTGTAAATAATACAAAAATAACAAAAGCTACATCCTTGAATATCTATTTTCCACAATGAGTGTGTGTGTGTGTGTGTGTGTGTGTGTATGTGTGTGTGGTACCAGGGAATGAACTCAGGACCTTGCACTTGCCAGGTAAATGTTTAAGCTGCTGAGCCATCTCCCTGGCCCAGTACTCTTCTTTATATGAAGACCTTTCCATTATCTTCTATTAAGTAATGCCGTGAGCCAGCATAGTTTCTAAAATTAATTATAATGATAGCAGAACTTTCTTGCATGTGCTTGACATGGCTTATGTAATTAACTATTGGATATTGCTAACCAGTGTAGCTGTGGCTTTATTGCTCTTGGGATAAAATGAGAGTAGCAGAAATCCTTTTGGTGAAAATAATGATATTGAACTAAGGATAGATTTTAGAACTTGCATGTGCTCAGCATTTAGTCAATCAGGTGATCAGAGAGCTTGGAACTTCAAGACTAAACCTGTGGCCTGGAATCCAGATTCAGGTAACGCAGGGGTTTTGTTGTTTATTTGTTTATTTTTTAATTTAAATATATATGACAGGATATAT